CAAGACGGTGCCACAGTGCACAGTGCCACAGACAGCCCACTAGTCGCAATACACAGTGCCATGCGAAGCGCTAAACCCGTTAACATCACCCAATGACTGGGAAATGGGTTAAGCAAATATTTTTGTTGGTGTGTTTGGGTTTGAGAAGAACCTGCCTAGTATGGGCCAGTAGACATGCTGCAGGTGAGAAATGTTTGATCTGAGAGGCACGTGACCTCTCAGTGGCTGCTTTCTCACTACTACTTCTCTGCACCTCTCCTTCCGACAGTATTTAAGTCTCCGCACTGTCGCTTGATCTTCAGATAGTTCCTGACTATGGAACGCAACTTCTCCAGGCTGAGGGACTGACAACCTCAAATTCTACGACTTCAAGGGTGATGGACTGATTACATCGTCTTCACATCTCTACTGTTCCTGCCTTCTTTCTGTATTCGACTGAAGAAGCCTACTGTGTAGGCGAAACGTTTCGGAATAAAGTTGCCTAACTGTTGCCTATGTGTTTTACCTACCAATACAAGGACAAAATGTGAATTATATCCTTGTACTGATAAAGCTGCTGGTTGGCGAAACTTCTACAAATGAAGATACAAAGATGTTACATATGTTTCTAATTCTTCACCTTGTCGGTACTGGATACCATTTATGTACATTATGTAATCAGTCCATTAACCTTGAAGAAATGGTGTTTGAGGTGGTCAGTCCCTCAGCCTGGAGAAGAGTTCAGCTTTAAGTGGTCAGTCCCTCAGCCTGGATAAGAGTTCAGCTTTAAGTGGTCAGTCCCTCAGCCTGGAGAAGAGTTCAGCTTCAAGTGGTCAGTCCCTTAGCCTGGAGAAGAGTTCAGCTTCAGGTGGTCAGTCCCTCAGCCTGGAGAAGAGTTCAGCTTCAGGTGGTCAGTCCCTCAGCCTGGAGAAGAGTTCAGCTTCAAGTGGTCAGTCCCTTAGCCTGGAGAAGAGTTCAGCTTCAGATGGTCAGTCCCTCAGCCTGGAGAAGAGTTCAGATTCAAGTGGTCAGTCCCTTAGCCTGGAGAAGAGTTCAGCTTCAGGTGGTCAGTCCCTCAGCCTGGAGAAGAGTTCAGCTTCAAGTGGTCAGTCCCTTAGCCTGGAGAAGAGTTCAGCTTCAGGTGGTCAGTCCCTCAGCCTGGAGAAGAGTTCAGCTTCAGTGGTCAGTCCCTTAGCCTGGAGAAGAGTTCAGCTTCAGGTGGTCAGTCCCTCAGCCTGGAGAAGAGTTCAGCTTCAGTGGTCAGTCCCTCAGCCTGGAGAAGAGTTTAGTTCTTTGGTCTGGAAGGATATGAAGGTGAAGCATGAGAACAGACTCTTAAATACTGTCCACGGTGAAGTGGAAGATCTCAATGATGTTGTCGGTATTTTATACAATTATCAACATACCTTCAGAACGAGCTGAAGGAAACACGAGAGAAACACTCTACACAGAGCCTTGTTTCGCTCTGTGTGGAGCTCTACCACGTCACAACCTGATGACAACACAGTAGAAGGCTTACTGGCCCATACAAGGAAAGTCTTTTTCAAAATTATCCCTTGCCACCCCACGTATTTTCCAAAAGCTACCCATGAGTTTGCTTCAGAAAGCTCTACAATAGAGCCTAACATGACAAGTTCTACACAGAGCGAAATATGACCGGATAAAGTTCTACACAACGATGCATGACTTGATACAGCTCTGCACACCGAATCTTAGCTTAAATAATATATGCAATACTGACAAACAGATAAATTAGACATGTCCTCACGTGTGTGATAAATGATTTTAAAAACCGACAAGTTGAAGAATTGAGACACTTACGCAACATATGGGAGACGTTTCGCCACACAGCGGCTTCATCAGTCCAATACAAAGTAGAAATGGGTAAGGAGAGGAGGAGTTTGAGGTAATCAATCCCTCAGCCTGGAATCGATGTGTTCAGTCCATCACTCTTGTAGGAAGTGCAGCAGAGGGCCAGAGAGGTGGCTTATATACTGCGGTGAGATGAGTTTAAGCAGGAGGACGATGGATCACAGTGGGACCTGCTACTAGTGTAAGTAGGTCGTCGTCCAAAGGTTGGGCAAGCTTCAAAGTGTTTGTACCAAGATCCCATGATGTTGCAGTGTCTGACAGATGTGATGAATGGTTTTGAAAACCGACAAGTTGCAGAATTGAGACACTTATGCAACACATGGGAATCTTTAATGAAGAAACGTTTCGCCACACAGTGGCTTCATCAGTCCAATACAAAGTAGAAATGGGTAACGAGAGGAGGAGTTTGAGGTAATCAATCCCTCAGCCTGGAACCGATGTGTTCAGTCCATCACTCTTGTAGGAAGTGCAGCAGAGGGCCAGAGAGGTGGCTTATATACTGCAGTCAGGTGAGTCGAAGCAGGAGGAGGAAGGATCCCATATATTGCATAAGTGTCTCAGTTCTTCAGCATGTCCTCATGTCTAATTCATCTCTGCAGAGGAAAACATGATTTGTTAAAGCTCTAAACTAAGTGAAACATGGCTGGATAAAGCTATGCACAGAGCACAATATATTTGTAAAGCTTTACGCGGAGAAAAAATGCTTGATAAAGCTTTATGTAGAGGTGAAGTGTGAAATCATTATCCTCTTCACGGAAAAAAATCACAAGCCAAAGCTCTACACAGAGCGAAGCATTACTCTTTAGAGCTTTACACAGAACGAAACATGGAATGATTAAGCTCTTTACTGTGAGAAACATGACTTAATTAAGCCCTTTACATAGAATAGGGTTCTACAAAGCGAAACGTGATTTAATTAAGCTCTTCACAGAGAACAGAGCTCTACAGAATGAAACATGAAATTGAAAGGCTCTACTCGGAGAGAAACATGACTAGATAAAGCTCTGCGCTAAGCAAAACGTGGCTTGGAAAAGCTCCATGCCGAGCGAAACATGAATTGGAAAAGCTCTACAATCAGCGAAACAAAGTCTTTCCTTGAGGAATTTATACAGGTGGAAGCTCTTCGGAAAGGTGCAAGGAATCTGTCATACAGGTCTTACTACCTGATCAGCCAGGCTGTTACTGCCAATCGCAGGCAATCCATCGTACGAACCACAGCCTGGTTGGCCAGGTACTGTCCAGCTCCCTCTTGAAGACAGCCAGGGGTTCTACTGGTAATCCGCCTTAAGAAGGCCTCCATTCTGATGAAGGCTCTTGATCCGAGGTATTGAAGCTACCCCTCCTCTTTTCCTCTAGGATCAGGTCTTATTATCGCTCATTCTCCAGGCGCTGTTTTGAACCCCCTTACCAGTACGGTCTTAGCGCTTACCAAATCTTACAATAACTCTGATTTCTTCAACGGTCTTGTTGCTGGCGCTTTCATTTTCTTGCAAGTGCCTTTGCATTGGCCTTTTTCCCAGCCGTTTCGAACTCGTTGGCCGTTCAGCAAAAATGTTCCCAAAGTAAAGGTTTGTAGGATAAAAGTTCCTATTGCAAAAATTTGTAAAACGACAGTTTCAAAGGCTTGCAGAACAAAGGCTTGCAGAACAAAGGCTTGCAGAACAAAGGCTTGCAGAACAAAGGCTTGCATAACAAAGGCTTGCAGAACAAAGGCTTGCAGAACAAAAGCTTGCAGAACAAAGGCTTGAAGAACAAAAGCTTGCAGAACAAAGGCTTGCAGAACAAAAGCTTGCAGGGCAAAGGCTTTCAGAACAAAGATTTTCAGAACAAAGGCTTATAGAACAATGGCTTGCAGAACAAAAGCTTGCCGAACAAAGGCTTGCAGAACAAAGGCTTGCAGAACAGAGGCTTGCAAAGCAAAGGCTTGCAGAACGAATGCTTGCTGAACAAAGGCTTGCAGAACAAAGGCTTGCAGAGCAAAGGCTTGCAGAACAAAGGCTTGCAGAACAAAGGCTTGCAGAACAAAGGCTTGCAGAAAAAATGCTAACAGAACAAAGGCTTACAGAACAAAAGCTTGCAAAACAAAGGCTTGCAGAACAAAAGCTTGCAGAACAAAGGCTTGAAGAACAAAAGCTTGCAGAACAAAGACTTTCAGAACAAAGGCTTGCAGAGCACAAGCTTGCAGAACAAAGGCTTGCAGAACAAAGGCTTGCAGAACAAAGGGTTGCAGAACAAAGGCTTATAGAGCAAAGGCTTGCAGAACAAAGGCTTGCAGAACAAAGGCTTGCAGAACAAAAGTTTGCAAAGCAAAGGCTTGCAGAACAAAGGCTTGCAGAACAAAGACTTGCAGAACAAAGGCTTGGAGAACAAAGGCTTATAGAACAAATGCTTGCGGAGCAAAAGCTTGCAGAACGAAGACTTGCAGAACAAAAGCTTGCAGAGCAAAGGCTTTCAGAACAAAGGTTTTCAGAACAAAGGCTTGCAGAACAAAGGTTTGCAGAGCAAAGGCTTGCAGAACAAAGACTTGCAGAACAAAGACTTGCAGAACAAAGACTTGCAGAACAAAGACTTGCAGAGCAAAGGCTTGGAGACCAAAGGCTTGCAGAACAAAGGCTTGCAGAACAAAGGCTTGCAGAACAAAGGCTTGCAGAACAAAGGCTTGTTATAAATGGTTAAGAAAAATGACAAGTTGAAGAATGAGACACTTGTTGAACATTTGGTAATCTTTACTGAGGAAACATTTCGCCAGCCAGTGGCTTCTTCAGTCCAATACAGAGAAGAACCGAGACAGATGAGGAGGAGTTGAAGGTCCCTCACCCTGGAGTCAATGTGTTCAGTCCATCAGTCTTGAGAAACGTATAACATGTGCTCAGTGAAGTAGCTTATATTCTACAGTCAGGTGAGTAGAAGCAGCAGAAGGTGGAGTCATCGGTGGATAAATCCACCAGTTAAAGTAGGTCATGCCTGTAGGCTAGGCAAGCGTAGTAGAAGTCCTTGTATCAAGATCCCAAGATGTTGTTTATATCTGACAGATGTCGTGTAAAGGGTTTAGACTTAAATAGATACTGTGAGTAATTATATGTATCCTTTCTCCCCTCGATACAGTCTAATAACTAGATAACATTCTGTTCTGCTCTGTTCTTTTATAGGAATGATAACGTGTTGAGAGAGACAACAGGACAGATTTACATGCATCAAGGTACCTATGGATAGGGTCAGTAGCCAATGAATGATAAGATCATCAAGGTTCACCACTGGAATGACAGGAAGATTTTAGACAAACGGGGCCAAAAAAAAAAAACACATAACAATGATATGGATGACTGGGCGTGTATTTCGTTTATGTAAGACCATTATCAGTATCATGTAAGTGTTTAATCAAGGTCAAGGGAAACCCTCGTCAAGATGAAGGAAAAATTTAAATCAAGAACTACCTTTAATAATATCAAGTGCGAATCAGAATACGATCAAATGTGACCTTCAGAAAATGTGACCTTCAGAAAATGTGACCTTAATAAGATCAAGTGTGAGCCATACTAAGCTCAAGTGTGACCTTCATTTAGATAAAATGTGACCTTTAATAAGACCAAGTGTGAGCCTTACTAAGATTAAGTGTGACCTTCATTTAAATAAAATGTGACCTATAACAAAATCAAGTGTGACTTTGATATCAAGTGAGGCCTCTAAGATCAAATGTAATTGTTATCAAGATCAAGGAAGGGAGAGAGGGAGAGAAAGAGAGAGAGAAACATGAGCATATCGTCAGCTTATGCAAGATACAGAGATGTGGAATCGAACCTGGGACAAGCAAGACGTAAGCGCAATGAAGCTACAGCCACCAACCTGCCAAGACGACTCCGCCGGTCTACCAATGACCCAAGGTAAGTAAATTATATATATAAATATATAAATATATAAATATATAATATATATATATATATATATATATATATATATATATATATATATATATATTGGGTGTGTGTGTTGTGTGTGTGTTTAGTGTTGTTGTGTGTGTGTGTGTGTGTGTGTGTGTGTGTGTGTGTGTGTGTGTGTGTGTGGTGCAAGGAATTCGCAAGAGCAGGTCGAAATATACACAGACACTGATCTCTGGCTGAAGGAGACTCGAATCTACGAACTTTGGAACAAGGTACGCAGTGTGGCGAGATTGGTATAGCACTGCGTACCTCGTTCCAAGGTTCGTAAGTTCGAGTTTCCTTCAGCCAGAGATCAGTATATATATATATATATATATATATATATATATATATATATATTATTACATTTGTGTGTGTGTGTCGTGCTAAGTGGTCAATTGCAAGACCGTCGTTTAAATTAAGTCCTTTCTAAATTTCCCTTTTATGCCTTAAGGATATATTTTTTTTCATTATGTTAATGATAAAATATATAATTTTACAAAAGGAACAACGACCAGTTGCCTAATTGTTATAGATGCGTATTATCTTCCTAATTCAACAGATTCTTATAGAAATTTACAATAATTAATATATAAATAATACATAATAAAATATTTTTATATATATATAAATGGTTATTAAAGAAATTAGATACAAATTTTCGCTGCTTTGTCGAAACGGTCATTAGCATGACCTAGGTAAAGATTGTCCTTTCAAAATTCTTTATGCCTTAAGGAATTTTTTTTTAGTTGTGTTATGTAAAGACCTAATCTTTAGCATAAGCTGAAATTCCATCCTTTTATACGGAATCGTAATTTAAGGCCTAAGCCTATGAATAGGCTTGGGACAGTTTACAAAATTAGAGAAACTTGTGCCCTCCACTATGAACTTAGTTTTCACACTTTAAGAGTGGTTTTAAAGGGATACATAACAAATTGCCGCCGTTAGAAAATCTCGTTAAATTAAGCTAGAAGTTGTTCAAGTGTCTTATATGAAACAAGCTGGTTACTATCTGAAGATAGGTACAGTAATGTACCAAGCATAGGAAGTTATTAGACTTCCCGGGGGCGTAGACCCCCTACGGCCCGGTTCGTGACCAGGCCTCGCTGTTGGTCAGGGGCCTGACCGATCAGCCTGTTACTTCCAACGTACGAACCACAGCCGTCTGGTCAGATACTGACTTTATGTGTCTGTTCAACTTCCTCTTGAAGACACTCAGGGGTCTAGTGGTAATCCCCCTTATGTATGCTATTGAAGAGTTAAACAACATAGAATAACTGAAAAGTTAACTAGATGAGGAAAAAAACTGAACACAGAGGTAGACGTGAGATTCGTAACATGTAAAGAACACAGGAATATGGCAACAATAGAATTTTAAACCGTTTAATGCGAATAGAATTTAAGTTTAGCTTCTATTCAAAAATCATTCTTCAGAGTTTGTGACTAGTATTGAATCAATAATGTCATTAAAAGTAAGTTTTGTTGCCTAACCTCCACTACTGTTTAGACGACTCTTGAGACAGTTGATCTCGACTCATATTTCACTCTTCCCAGAGTACTGCAAGAATATTCTGCCTCTGCAAGCAGAGAGTATGATGATCTCAGCACAATGCTCACGTTTGGAAATAAAGCGTAATATTTAAATTATATAAGTTAAGTAATTGGAACGTTGCAAGTGTTTGCCCAGAGTTACTGAATGAAATATTATTAGTTGCTATAATTCCTTTACAGGATCCACGAACACATCTCGCTGTATTTAGTATACACATTTCCAGTTCTTTCTTGTATACCCATGACACTCGTTACAGGATATTTCCACCAAACCCTGAAATTTGACTCCAGTTCTCACACTGTTGCATATTGCCGTGTCATGTTTCCAATAAGACAGTCCGGAAGAGCAAAAAAAAAAATAGTGTTGAATCCAAAACAAATGAGTCGTGAAGCTCCAGGCCAGTGCGTAAGCCACTTGACCTGGTGTTTTAGGATTCACCTACTATGGGTTCAGTCCCAGTTCGTTCCGTGGTTTATTTACAATCGTTTTATTATGATTTTGTAAGCCATTCTCTAGATATTTGTTTCGTCTGTGATCATCTTCCTAACCGTTCGTCTTTTTTTTTCTCTTTTTTTTTTGTCATTGAGGCTGTTATAACAATGTTCTCAGCAACACGCTACATTCTGATAAAATTACACCTCAGTTATTTCTCAGATCAATACTTACAACCCTAATTTTTAAAAGGGTGGACTGGTAAGCCAGAGGAAGGCCTCGGTCAGATGACCAAAAGCTCCAGCTGCGGGTCATCATATGACTAAGACCCGCGTCAGGAAACACTTGTCCTGTTTCCTGACGAATTTTACCAAACCTAATAATATCCTCAATTATTTATTTTTCTTTCTATAGTCAATAATTCTCAGAAGCTTCAGCCTTGATGGCGCCTCAGTGAGAAGAATTTGATGCAAATCTAAACGAGCTTCACTAAAATGTTCAGATTCTTTAGCAATTCAGCTTTAATTATTTAAGACGAGAAGCAGCAAGCAGTGGAACACAACCCTAGCTGACCAACGAGTGCCAAACACGTTGGGAACGAGTTCAGCAAGTTTGATCATAGGGCTCGTGAACAAGCCTTATTCAAAGGATATTGGATGAGGCGTTTCGAGTTATGAGCGTAATGTAATTGAAAAGTTGACAGAAGAAGAAACAAATAAAAATCATGTAACCTCTTAAAGGTATCCCTACGGGGATCCCTAATTAGATGAAAAGTGTTAGAGCAGCTGTTTGAGCGTCACATTAGACCTGGTAAGTATACTTGGTGTAATCAGATAAATCTATCACCTATCTGCCTGACTAATGATAAGGTAGCATAACTAGATCTCAGTAAGATGAAAGATGTTACAACATGTAATGTTTATTAAGATGTTACTGTAAGAGCATATGATGTAGCAATACCTACGAGTTGTAGATGATAAAGACCTTATTCAAACAATGTTGTGTCTGTGCAGGCGAAACGTTATCTGAATTAAGCTTCCAATTACCGCTTGTGTGACTTTGTCATCCTCAAGTTCCTGCTTGACGAGAGTCCTGCTTAGTGTACCAGGTGTAATCAGATAAGCCTATCACCATTCTTTCTGACTACTGATTAGGAAGCAGCAAGCAACAGTGCCACTCACATAGGAATTCCAACCAAACTGAGGGTAGTGCCACGGGTACAGGTCGTGGGAGAGTACCAAGCCAGTCAGCGGAGGTGCGCCCTGCGGACGGGAGACAGTGTGCTTAATTTAATCAGTGTAACTGTGACGGTGTTCAGATGCTCAGGGCACTAACTCTGTCACTCATGATGTAGGTCAAGTGTTGATAAAAAGAAACTAAGTATAGTAAGAGCACAAAGTAATAATGATACCAGGCTGATGACAGTGATACACAACGTAGCTTGAATTTTCTAGGAAGAATGAGAACAGAAGATAGAGACAGGCTGCAAGGGTGATAAATGAAGTGGCAGTTCAACACCTAGTGGAGAATAATGTGAGTTAGGAAAGGAGAGAGAAGGTCAAAGATGAAGGAGAAAAATTAGTATACATCACTCAAGGAGAAAGATCTGCGAGTGAACATCATGGCGAACATTTCATCCGAGGTGCACCAAAGTTGCATAACATTCTTCAACTTGTAGGTTTTCTAAGCCACAAGGAATCTTGTAGGATTGTATACGACCTGTCTCAGACCACCTGGTTAAGCATGTTCAGAAACTACAGAAGGTTCAGATGATTTCAGCGAGATTAGTCCCTCGGGCTGAGTAATGTGAGCAATGAAGAGAGTTTAAAGAAAAGAAAATGAACAGACTTATAAGAAAAATGAGGCAGGAACGATAGGATTATCGCATATAAGATAAAATACAGGATCTGATAGAGGGCAAACAGGGCCAGACTGAAATGCGAGTTATAGGGGTGAGTAGGCATAGTCAAGAACTAAAAACACATATGAACCAGAGGAACAAGAGGAAATAACTCAGAATGAATGAAAGACAAGTGGAGGCAAACTCAATACAAAGTATTAAAAGTTGTATGATAAAATCCAAGAGGCCAGGAACTATTAATGCTCCTCGATTGTAGTTGAAGAGGTTGGGCCAGGAACTAAGAATCGAGCCCCTGAAACACAACCTGATGAGTTAAATTCAGTGATTAAAAGTCTAATAATAGTGCCATGAGACACTAGGTCAGTGTACATGGATCAAGTCTTAGCTGCTGGGCCCACTTCTTCCCTGCTAGTTTTCTCTCTTGTTGGTCCCGTCGTAAAATCTGTGTAAAGTGCCTGATCCAACCATTCCCTAGTCTAAATCAGTTCACTTACTGAGCACCATGAAGAAGTATTTCGGTTCTTCTCTCCTCTCTTCTCCAACATAAATATTGTCTTGAAACACTGGTCTTTCTCTACTTTCTTTGCAGGTCTGACTACATGTAAACTCTTGGTTCCTGTTGCATCATGCTCTATGATAGATGGTCTTACATATGAAACATTTAATATTAAATTAACTTTCTTTTTAGGTTCCTGAGGCTTATGGCTGCTTAGGTTGCTATATACTCATAAGCCAGTCTATCTTCTGTCTGATCTTTTTTCTTAATTTCTGATTCTCATAACCTGGCACTTGGAGTTGATTTCCAGTAGTTAAGTGTCTGACTACATTAGTTGTCTGTACAAGTTTATGTGTGATTATATATTTGTGGTTATGTGAGGAGAACTGTGCTCGTTGTGTCTCATATCTGGTATTTTTAATTTGTCATATAATATTTTTTTAACTGTATATAGCACTTGTTGCCATTTCTTCGATCCCTTTTTGTTTATTCTACCCCTTTATTTGCTGAGGAAAAATCCTATTGTTTACCGATGCTGAAGACTCTCAACTAGTTATATTTCTACATAAAGTTATGTTGTCTGATTGTTACTGTTTGCAGTTTTCTTTAAAACAGAAAATTTC